TATTTGCAGCACAAAACATTTTTGAGCTGAAGTCTAAAGAGGAGGTCTAAGTAGTTGGAAGAGCTGCAGGACGCTCTGATCCAGTCAATTTTTATGTTTATGCTCTTAAGTGTGTTTTTAAACTTAATCTTATACTAAGTAAGTATACTACTGTTTGTAAAATGCATCTTTCTTGATGACACCCACCAATGTTTGTAAAAATTATAACTATTTAAACTAAGACAACAAGGTGCAGGGCTGGATGAACACAGCAGGCCAAGCAGCATCATAGGAGCAGAGAGGCTGACGTTTCGGGCCTAGACCCTTCATCAGAAAAGGGGGAGGGGAAGGGGGTTCCGAAATAAATAGGGAGAGAGTGGGAGGCGGATAGAAGAGGGATAGAGGAGAGGATAGGTGGAGAGGAAACAAACAGATCGAAGAGGCGGGGATGGAGCCAGTAAAGGTGAGTGTAGGTAGGGAGTTAGGAAGGGGATAGGTCAGTCCAGGGAGGACGGAGAGGTCAAGGGGGCGGGATGAGGTTGGTCGGTAGGAGATGGAGGTGCGGCTTGAGGTGGGAGGAGGGGATAGGTGGGAGGAAGAACAGGTTAGGGAGGCAGGGACGAGCTGGACTGGTTTTGGGATGCGGTAGAGGGAGGGGAGATTTTGAAACTTGTGAAATCCACATTGATACCATTGGGCTGCAGGGTTCCCAAGCGGAATATGAGTTGCTGTTCCTGCAACCTTCGGGTGGCATCATTGTGGCACTGCAGGAGGCCCAGGATGGACATGTCGTCTGAGGAATGGGAGGGGGAGTTGAAATGGTTCGCGACTGGGAGGTGCAGTTGTTTATTGCGAACCGAGCGTAGGTGTTCTGCAAAGCGGTAGCTGCACCTTGTTGTCTCGGATTCTCCAGCATCTGCAGTTCCTACTATCTTTGACACTATTTAAACTAAATATGACCAAGAAAGAAAGTACTGAAATCTTTCAAAAATAATGTATTTTTTTAAAATGTGGAAACTTATTGAAGTAAATTTCAGTTTTGGATTCGGTTGTGTTATTGCATAAATTCTAGATGAGACAGACCTGTATCTTTAAGAACGTCACACAATGTCACATCACGTGATGCTCCAGTATTAAAGTGCCTGACATATCTTCAGTCACCCTCTCATTGCAATGGAATCAGTGTCTTCTGTTCAAGTGAGTTAGTTATATGAATGTAATGTGTTATGGATCAGACCAAACCCCCTCAAAATATATTAAGAAGGCAGCCTAGGCCCTAAATTTTGCTTATTTTAAAGGTAGGTGTAATGTGTTGCATTCCAGATGCAATTCAATTGTTCAAACTACATGGCTTTAAGCGAAACACACTTTATTTTAATACTACAGTTAAAATACAGACAACATTAAAAAAATGGCTTAACTGTAACTATCGAAATGCTTAACAAAATAGTATATATATTAAATATTAATAATTAACTGTTCAAGCATATAAATCCCATAAACACACCCTTGGCAAAGGCAAATTCTGTAAAATAGATTGTCTCGCATGCAACTCTAGCAGTAGGAAGAGAATCCCAGCTTTTAGATGTAACAGAGAGAGCAATAAGAGCTTCAGGATCCCAGCAACTGCTGAAAGCTAAAACTAAAAACAATGGTTCTGCGGGACCTTGATCTCACTCACTCAGGCTGCTTCTGCTGTTCCAGCTTTTTTAAAAAACCCCAAGGCCTCACAAGCTGTTTACTGCATTGGCTTTGCGCAGACCACTTGTTACCTCTACCTCAATCTTTCTTCATTAAAAAACCAGGACAAAATACAACACTTAAAGCCATGGTATCACCATAAATTATGTATTACTCTGTGATATTATAAAAATACAAATACTTAGTGTTGTTAACAAATTTTAAGATGTTTTTCTCAACAAGACTCTGACCTTTGTGGTATATGTTACATAAGCTAACAGATAGGCACCACTCAGACCATATTATACTGACAGTTGTGTTTGACACAAGAAACCATGGAGGTACCAGCAAGTGGGCACTAAAATTTAATGGTGACATCTAGTTAGTAGCAACTAGTTGGAACTAAAGGCTGAACAGGGGCTGAACAGACAGCACCAGTGACAGGCATTTTTCATGATCTTTCTGAGTTCAGAGCTAAAGTTACAACAACCACATTGGAGGAACAGTTGCGAGTACAATGTCTCGCTTTAAAAGTAAGATAACAGAGCTAATCTGATTTTAATCAAACGGTTGTTAAAAGATGCTGAAAAGTAGCCTTGATTTACTACATCAATCCTAGAACAAAATACCAGGGCAAAAAAAATTACTATCTTAATAAGTCTTAGTGTACACAATCATTGGTTGATTCTGCCATCTTGCCTCTTGGAAATGGTGAAAAAGTGAAAAAGGAGAGTGCATGACATTGTCCCTGTATTTTTAGACACAAACACACAAAAGTACAGAATGTGATTTCACTGAAGCTAATTTACCTGAATGGCTTATAGCACTTTATCAAATGCCTTCTGGAATTTTAAGCATTGTACATCCATTGATTCCTCATATACACAGCATGTATTACTTCCTCAAAGAATTTCAATAGACTGTTAAGCATGACTTTCCTTTCACAAAATCATGTTGAGCCTGCCTGATTATCTTGAACCTTTCTAAGTAACCCTCTGTAACTTCTTTAATATTAGCATCTGAGATTTTCCCTATGTCAGATGTTAATCTAACTGATCTGTAGCTTCCTGCTTTCTATCTCCCTTTGTGTTTGTATAAAAAAATTACATTTGCTATCTTCCAATTTGATAGGACCTTAATTGAATCTATGGAGTTTAGAAAATGAAAATCAATATATCAACTATCTCAATACCACCTCTTTTAAGACTCTAGGGTGAAATCCATTAGGATCTGTACACTTGTCAGCCCAGACTTCCAACAATTTACTTAGTACTATTTCCCTTGCGACTGTAAATTTTCTGAACCCGTCCCTCCCTTCAATTTCCTGATTGATAGCTGCTTCTGGGGTGTTATAGACTCTATAATGAAGACTGATGCAAAATAGCTAATCAATTCATCTCTTTATTTTCCATTAAAAATTGTCCAGATTCACTTCTTTTGCTGTTTTTATATTCTGTCCAATCCTTCCAAGTGCCACCTGTCTTTGCACAATTATTTTACTTTTCTTTAATTTTGTTACTTTCTTTAAGCTTTCTAGTTAACCTCTGGTTATGTGTTCATTACTTGGAATTTTTCTTAGTTATTAGATCATTTATAGTCTATATATTCTGAAATATCCCATTAAATATCTACAATAGCATCTGTATTGACCTATTCTTTGACTTAGTTTGCCAATTCACTTTAGCCATCTCGACTTTCATGCCCTCATAATTCCTTTATAATTCCGGTATATATTCCAAGAAATAATTTGAACCCAATGCTCTGTCCCTGGAGCTGAATGTTAAGTTGATTTCATTTTATTCAATAATTATCCATCTTAAATGTCAGCTCCTTGGGATGGACACCAGATCCTTTTAATCATTGCTCATTATAACATCTTATGACCCAGGGGCTAGGTTGATACAGGAAGATCTTCTATTATTAGTCTATCTGGATACATAAATCTACATATTATTATGATCCACAAGGTCACATATCCAAAAGTTGCAACACCAAATATTCCAAATATTTTTGCTTATTTTTGTGTGCCAAATCAGAGACGCCAATAGTGTAATGGTTGTTGATACACGTTTGATGTACCTCACATTGTGTCTGATGATGGTCTGCACACTCTTCCAAGACATGCGTAGGAAATGGGGTGTTCAACATATTATCTCTTCTCCTCATTATCCTCAGTCTAATGGTCTTGCAGAATGCATTGTCCATACAGTAACATCCATGATAGTCAAATGTAAAGCAACTTGTCAAAAACATGTGGACAGCTATGCTAATTCTATGTGCTACTCCCCAAGGCAATGCCTTACCCTCACTGGCAGCTCTTATGTTTGGAAGACAGATCCACATAGTTCTTTCCTCACATACTCCCACCACTCAACCATGTGTGCAGGTGTATACATTGCTGAAAAGAATGGTGAAAATCTTACAGGAGCATGATCAATGAGCATGCTGCTTTCCCAACCTGAATCAGGACAAGATGTAAGCGTTTGTGATTTTCATACAAAAATAATGGCTTCTGTCAAAATACTACATTGTCGTGTCTAGCCTAGGTTATATGATCTTATAATGAGCAATGTTTAAGTCCTGCAGAGAAACAGATGATACAACTGAGCTGTATATTATCAACCACCCATCAACAGAATGATGACTCAGATATTGAAGACACCATGGCAGACAACAATGATGCATCTAGCCTTATAGTACACCAACTATGCACAATGACAGACAGCACACTGCACAGTGAAGCTATATAGCCAAGTCCAGATAACTGTAACAAGGATGTAATGACTGAATAAAAACTGAAAGAACTGCAGATGCTGTAAAGCAGGAACAAAAACAAAGTTGCTGAGGAAGGGTCACTGGACCTGAAATGTTAATTCTGTTTTTTCCTTCACAGATGCTGCCAGACCTGCTGAGCTTTTCCAGCAACTTTGGTTTTGTAATGACTGAATAATCTGTTTGTGTTGCTCATCCAACAAAACATTATCTAAATTTGTAGACACAATGTAGTTAAATATATTCTTGTACATGTTATCACAAAGGGTTCTCATTTTCTAATGGGAAAAGGGTGATGTCATGCTATTGCATCGATTCCAGACCATGCAGGAATGTACCTTTGAAACAGTTACAATGACATCATAGCATGTGACATTCCGGTATAAAGGCCTTGCCTGCAGTCATTCAGTGAAATGGAATCAGAGTAGAATAGTTTTTTTGGTTGTATAAATTTATGAGGTGTGTGTATTGCTGGTTAGGTCAGAATTTATGGCCATTTCTAATCGTCCTGGAGAAGATGGTGCTGAGCTGCCTTCTTGAACTGCTCCACTTTATGAGGTTGGAGAGACACTAACGGTGCTTTTTGGATGAAGTAATATCTTAAAAGGGTAGAACCTGATCTATATATATGTCTCTGATATTATAGCAATGTAAGTGGTTAGTGTTGTTAATAACCTAAATACACCTGTTTCAACAAGGGCCTGATCTCTCGAGAAGTACTCAGACCAAACCATACTGGCAGTGTTGTTTTACCTCAACCATGTCAAATCTCACCGGGATTTGTAGCCAAACGCGTAACAGTAATGGCTCACAGATGACTGAAAACGAAGTTACTGAAGTGTTTCAAGAGCAATAGAAGATTGGAAAAGCACGGAAACTTAGTGGAGCGGATTTCAGTTTCATATCTGAATGGTCGCCAAAAGTATGATGCGGAGGAGAAGATACCGCCCAGCGTTGTGTACGATAGCTATTGTCAAGTTTGGTTAGAGACAAAAACAAAAGCTGCAGATGCTGGAATCCAAGGTAGACGATCAGGAGGCTGGAAGAACACAGCTAGCCAGACAGCATCTGGAGGATGGGAGCAGTCAACGTTTCGGGGTATTACCCTTCTTGAGGACTTTGGTGCATGGAGGTTTGCAGAAGTTGCCTCCTGGTTGAGCATCTGCGGAGCCACATGCTTGTATTGGTCACGTGAGCAGCGGAGCCAGCCTCAATGAAATGAAGGCGGTTTTTTGGCAGCTGCCGCCGCTGGCTCTGCCGCTTCTCTGAGAACATGAAGGTGCAGGAGTGAAGGGCGAGCCCGGGGCTACGGCCGCTGTGCATGTGGCTGACTCGGCAGCGCTTGGTGTGAGTGGGCCGGGGGAAGCCGAGCCCTGCCTTGCCCAGGCGCGGTTTTTATTTTACCATGACAGCGTTAGCCGCCGCCTCCTTCTTCTCCAACATTTGCAATTTCGGCGGATGCGGCCTCACCTTTAACACCCTGGCTGAACTTATCGAGCACATCGAGGACACTCACATAGGTAGGTGCCCGCCGGCCCGCTAGTCCTGCTCACCGCTGCATGCTGAGCTGTCAGAGCCGGACCCGACTGGGCTCGAGTGGTCCAGGCCTGGCCCATGGGCTCGGCTGGGAGGAGAGCCGAATGTATCGGCCTCCTCTCTCCACACATCACTGACAGTTCACTGAGGGGTAACGGTGCAGCTTGCAGCATCGGCCCGGACTTGGGAAGCTGGAGAGGAGAGACTGCATCTCCGAGGACCGTATGTTGCTCACCTGATGATGGGCACAGGCAGGAGAGGGAGCGGGGAGAAGGCACACACTTTTAGTAGGATTTGTTGGCATCCTCAGACAGCGTGCCAATGAGTTTGCTGTAAGTCTGTCAGCATTATAAACGAAGCACAGTTAGCTTTTCTCATAGTTTGTATTTGGCAGCAAACGCAGGCTGGCTTTGGTTTTCATTATACAAACTTAGTTTTACCTTTTGATGATGGTCAGCAATTTGGTAGTTAACTTAAAACAGTTCTTGAAATACAAAAATAAGTTAATACCATCTTTTTTTCTAGCTGAAATCACAATAAGAATAACTGTCAGTAGTCTACTGATTAACCATGCAGGCTGTCCTGTGGTATAATATTGTTTTGGTATCATAAAGTTAATAGACAACATAAAAGTAATATGTCACTCATCATTACAAATGTGAACTTGGTGGTGGCAGCACGTCAACAGACGTTAGCTGCTTTTGTGATTTATATTTATGCTTCTGCAGTTTGTGTGGTGACCTGATGAATATTTTTTTTAAACACTACGGATTTTCATAAGTTGATTCATAACTTTTAACAATGTTTGTAAGGTAATGCTTTTGTGATAGTATAATAATGTGTTTATTTATAGGTAAATGTTTATTTCCTGATTGTAAATTCAGTTTGGGTTTTTCAGATTTTCTTTTTAGTTTTTCTTGTATGCAGCTTCAGTTAATTGCTTTCTTCAAGTTTGAAGGTTTGCACAAAACATATATTTTTGAATTTGTATGTAAGAAAATGCTATGGTTGTTGTATTGCCTGGAACCTAATTTTGAAGTCAGCTACTTCGGATAGATAAAATACACATACATGGTTGTTAAGATGCTATGCAGAATAAATTTGTGTGGTTTCAATTCGCTTTGATCTTTGTCCAGGACAAGAGTACGGTCTTTGGATATAATCAGGTACAAATTAGTAGTAGTAGTCTTTCTTAAGTTTGTAAGGATCATTGGAGAATGTGACCAAAGGTTGTTCTGCTGGATTGGATTGGGGTGGAGGGGAGGCGGTGTGTGCAGTGGTACTTTTCAAAAACTAGAATTAAAGGTAAATGCACTTGGTCTGCAAGGAAAGGAAATTTTGTTAATGTGCATGTAATCTATTTTACCTTTTATGTTGAGACGTTTGCTACCACTGGCTGCCTAAGTAGCCAAAATGTGCTCTTCACTCTCTGAGCAGAATAACTTATTTCCTTTCCATAAGATGCTTAAAAAAGGAAGGTTATAATTTTGTATTTCTGTGCAGCTCAAAAGCATGAACTTACCCACAGTATTATTCATCATTAATGAGCGAGGCAGTAATTAGTTCCTAGGTTGGTTGTATAACACTGTGAAACAGCATTGGTGTTGAGTGAACCACTGCTGTGCACAGGGGAGCACTTCCAGATATGATTCCTGTATGTATAGCAGTCATTAGAGAGATTGTATCTTCTTCCTCACCTAGCCATTAATTGTGGTAGATTTTTGTGGAAGGGATATAAATTATTTAGAAATTACCAATTGTTTACCATTTGGGAGGAGAAAAGTGGCAGTCATATGCTATGAAAATTTATTTTAATGAACCTGTTGTTCATTTTTTAAAAATCTCTTGGAGAATTGCTTACGATGTTTTAACTTTGTGTTCCTGTATCTTAATGTTTGGAACTCGAGGGAATTTCCTTGTGTCATACACTCAGTTTTAATTTGACCATATAAATAGCACTTTTATTGCGCAGAGCTGATTTGTAAACTGTATTGCTCACTCATGCACATGAACACTTGAATCTTAAGTAGCGCCTGCATTGTATTTTTGGAACCTAGTATGTTTGGCTAAGTTGTAAAAGGATATCGGAGTAGTGATGGTGAATTTTAATTTTTTTTTTATAGCAAAGAAAGATGCCTCTCGGTATAATGCAGATTGTGATTACACTTACACGTGAATCCTGAAATTTTTGGTAATTCTCCAAATGTGTATATAATGAAGGCACCTATGCATATTACATGACCAAGAAATTGTTTCATTATTCAAACGGTTAAGATTCCAGTAGAAATGAGTTTATTTCATTATAATGTTTCCAGTTCTATCATAATTATTGACTTGATTTAAAGCTTTATTTTTGTTTCTTTCAGCTGCCATTGAGATTATTTTACTTTACCTCATTCATTTTATCATAATATATCTGGAAATACTTTTCTTGTCAACTCTTCTCTCCAATTTCTGTGTTCAAATTTCATAATGTCTCTAGCTATGTAAACATACTACTGTAATTACATACTCCTGCCAGGGGTGGTGCTATAATATCTCAGCTATCATCAGAAAAAAGCTGATGCTGCACCCAACTTTACTTCCCAAATTTTCCTTTTTAAAACACTTGGTGGCTGTAGTTTTATATAAAAGTATTGTGGGGGAAAAAATGAGGACAATGTATGATTTTAAAGAGAAGATTTGAGTAAAACTGTATGCCTTGGTTCAATTATCCTCTTGGTTCAATTATCCTCCATCCCTGTACACCTTAAGATTGTACTTGGTCTTTTTTAATATATTTTAAAGTTTTGGTAATGGTCCACACTTTTTTAATATTTTTATGCCAGTATTTCGTTTTGCAACATTTTAATGAGGAATAAATGACTGTTTGTTTAAAATTTTGGTTGTTATTTTGATCTACCAAATGAAACACTCCATTTTCAGAAAATGGTTTTGTCTTCGTTATTGGAGATCCTATATTGGACTAGAATTTACAATCATCCAGTTGTACTGTCCATAATCTTAGGTACAAATTCCACCACAATGTCAAGTGAGGGTAAGCATGCCTGTAAAGCCAAACTGAAGTTCCTAGCTAAAATGTGTAGATCAACTGTGACCTTTTGCAAAAAACTGCATCTTGCAATCTGATTCACCATTCAAGTATATTGAATAGTGTGACATTCGTGCACTTGCATGGTAAAATGTACATTAAGGCTTGTCCATTTCTGTCTAAATCTTTTTAATGATAGTCTTAAAGTCTGGCAGTGGAAAATAACTGTTAATTGTACAGAGTTCAATTACTTCAATGTTTAGCTGTTGTTGATTTAGATTCTGTGGTGTTGTTTTCCCAGAAGTGTTATGACACAGAAAGATGTCATTCAGCCAATTGTGTCTGCATCAGCTCTACAAATGAGCCTCATGGCTTGGTGCCATTCTCTTGCATTTTCCCCATACTCTTGCACATTGATTCCATTTAAATGGAATCAATGCCCTCTTGAATGCCCCATTTTTGAACCGACCCGTCACTACACTTTCAGGCAGTGCATTCAAGACCCTAATCAGCCATTGAGTGAAAATGTTTTCTTGCATTATATTTTCTGCATTCACAAATCATTTAAACCTGGTGCTGTCTTTGTTCTCAGTCCTTTTTACCATAAATGGTTTCTCCTTTAGCTACTCTTTCTAGCCACTCTAATTTTGAAAACTTTTCTATCAGATCTCTTCTTAGCCATCCAGAACAGTCCCAACCTTTCCAATCTATCCACATAACTGGTTCCAAGGATGAGAAACATCAGTTATGTGAATCTCTTCTGTATTCTTTCCTTTCATGTGCTTTCTATATTGTGGCACCCAGAACTATCCCTAGTAAAGAGACCTGGGGTGTAGGTGTGTAGTTCCTTGAAGGTGGAGTCACAGGTAGACAAGGTGGTGAAGAAGGCATTTGACACACTTGCCTTCATTGGGCAGAACACTGAGTAAAGGAGTGAGCTATCATGCTGTCCTGTACAGCCACAATGGTGAGGCTACTTTTAGAATACTGCGTACAATTCTGGTCACCCTTCTGTAAGAAATATGTTGAGAGGGTGCAGAAAAGATTTACAACAATCTTGCTTTGACTGTAAGGTTTGTGTTACACTGAATAATATGCTGAATAGACATTTTTTTTCCTAGAGCATCTGAGGCTGAGGTGTAAACTTATAGAAGTTTATAAAATCATGAGGGGCATGGATAGGGTCAGTAGCCAAGCTCCCTTTCCTAGGGTGGGGGAATCCAAAACTAAAGGGCATAGGTTTAATGTGAGAGGGGAAAGATTTGAAAAGGACTCAAGGGGGTAACTTTTTCATGCAGAAGGTGATGTGTGTATGGAACGAGCTGCCAGAGGAAGTAGTGAAGGTGGGTACAATCAACATTTAAAAGGCATCTAAATGGGTACATGATTAGGAAGGGTTTAGAGGGATATGGGCCCAAATGCTAGCAAATGGGACTAGGTCAGATTGGGATGTCTGGTTGCCACGGACTAGTTGGACCAAAGGGTCTGTTTTGCTGCTGTATGATTCTGTGACTACTCCACCTGAGGTCAAATGGGTGTCTTATACGAGTTTATCATTAACTCCATACTCTTGTACTGTATGTCCCTATTAAGGAAGCCCAGATTATTGACTGCTTTCTCCATTTTGGCCTGCTGCTTTTAATGACTTGTGCAAATATGGACCCACTTCCCTCTGCTCATTCACTCCCTTTACAACTGCACCCCCAAAATATTAACTTCTGTTTCATCTCTCATTAAGTGTTGTGATATTTAGAGTTTGTCTCCGTCATAGCAAAATGCATCACCTTACACTTTGCATTAATGTTCAGTGTTGTAGTTTAATAAGGTGCTTTGTTGTTTTCCCTGTTCCATAGAATCCAAAGTTTCTCTCAAGAATACTGTTGCTGTTTTGATGTCTTACATGCAGCAACTACCACTAAGGTGTCTCATAGTAATTGCAAAGGTCAGCTTAAT